TGCAAACATATCATCTTGAAACGTATCTAAACGCCTATACAAACCCTTATCCAGTCTTCTTTTTATTAAGTCCAACGAAAGTGCTCGAACCCTACAAAAAGCGCTATAGAACAAAAAAAACACAGGAGTGGTCTTACTTTTTTCCATCGACTTCGTCATGCTCAGGAAGTTCGGCCATTGAATCCGAGTAGCAGCGTTCCTCCGCATCCTGATGGTTATACACGTTAGTAAAAAGATTCAGTAATAGATCTTGAATTGCTGCAGGAACATCAGGAACGGTATCATCGTCCTCTTTGAGTTGCAATTTTGTTTGCAAACAGACACGTTGCAGAATTAATGCGTCTTTATAAATCTGTGAATCAGGTTCATTATACTTGCATCCATTGTCGAACATAACATTAAAGTCGTTCACTAAATCGTCTAAAGTTTCGTAATAATTTGCTTTAACCCTCTGCGAAATTTTCTCCATATCAATCGGACTTTTTATTACTTCATAATAATCCGGATAATCCTAAAAATAGATCATAGTAACAAGTTATTATAAAGTACAGCCCTACTAGTTTCGATGGTAATTTCATAAATATTTGTGACAGTTGGCGATTTAGTTTTGGTTCTTTATAATCTCGAATAGTTTCATATAATGTTCTACAGTTTTTCTCAGTTGGGGTTTGAATCTTGCGTGGACGTGCTCTGCAACATGGGAATCAGGTAAACAACAATTGTGTAAAATAAGATGCGTACATTCGAGGTACAGTTTTCCTCTCATGTTTTTCGACTACCACTGGAATGGGTTGACCAATTTTTTCAGTCAAGACCCGCTCGAGTAAATTGGCATCGTCATAAATCGTTGAATTTTCTTCATTGTATTGACGACAATTTGCAAACATGAGTTTAAAATCCTTAACCAAATCGCTTTCATTGGAGTACTGTTCGGCTCTTATTTTTCCCTCTATTTCCAAAAAGTCAATCGGTTCTGCAATCACCTCGTAATAATCAGGATATAACTTTTTCGACGGTTTCTCCATGAATGCCAACATCGGTTTTCTGCCATCCTCACACTAACGAGAAAAATTTTACATAATGTATACTGAACATGAACAAATTAACTTGAATTAAATAAATGATTAATAAAACATACCACATAGTCTAACATAAACTTCGCAAGATTATGCAAGCGCCTTTTTAGAGGAACGGAGTCCTTTGGCGGACGTCCCCGGCCCGGTGATATGCCCATTAATAATTTTGATTTCACGCCAGGTTTCCTTCTTACCTTGTCTTCATTATCTGCATCACTGTCTGTATCCTACGAGTATAAACGAAATTGGAAAAACAAAACGGCATGGCACAAATGATATATAAGCAGCTATGCTTAATAAATACAAATCAAAAATACTGTAAAATGATAAAAGAAAACCACCTACAAAAATATCGATTATCGAAAATGTTCTAAAGTAAATGAAAGAATAGTAGAACATGAGATGAGTGCGATTTAAAGAAAAACTAAGTTAAATGCGAAAAAAGGTACACCACCACACCTAATCATGTTCATGTAACCATTCAAATTTGTTTTACCTGTAAAATATAACGTAACTACGAAACAAATTACAATCTCTAATAGGAACATGCTTCAAATAATAAAGCAACACATAAAGCTGTGCAGTAGCATACCTTTCGATTTTTGTTAGTGACTCTGTGTGTTACCTGATCTATGTCAAGTAGTTCTTGAACTTTCATTTGCATCACTTTTTGAAGCTTTACTGCATCCTGGAACACAAAGTTTACTTACTGTCAGTAAAGTTTTATAATAGTTGCATATTTGTTTCATTTTTTTCATACTAATTTTATAGTAATTATGTTGCCATTTAAACATTCACTATAGGTTCAGTGGAAGAGAACTGAGTAATTTTCAGTATAAGCTGAACCATAGTGTAAGAATAGAATAGTGAAACAACCTTACGGAAAAAAAAGGTAACCGATTTGGACATCGAGATTTTTTAGTTCTGGACGCGGCAATCTGCAAGGGGGGCGCAGAAGTCGTGGATTTTAAAAGTAACCGATGTTACAAACTCTTAACAATAAATTGCCACTTGGCGCTACACTAGAATAGATGGCGCGTTTTGCAAAGCGAATTTACAGAAGGAATATTATACCTACTTTTATCTCATTTTTATGCGTAAGAAAAATAAAGAGGTAAATTAATCCATGCAAACATTCCGACGATAATGCTCCTTTCTTATTACATTCTCGAGTACGTCAACTGAGTCATCACATTCTACAGACCGGTTGACAGACCTCGTTTAAATAACCTACCTTAATATTTCAAATGTTACGAGATGAACGCACGCAAAAAAATTCATTCCTGTGTTATTTAATTTACAATGTGCGAACAATTTAATAGCTGTAGGAGTAGGCTCTTCTGAACTTGACAATTTTATTTCGAGTTATGGATCTGGATGCCTCCAACAAAGTTCAAACAAAACCTTAGAACGAGTTTTTTTAGGAGGGTCTTCTTTAGGCGGTTCCAGGGCGGTTCTCATTGTGCCAAAGGTGAACTTCTTCTGGATATCATCACTAATCCTACAGTCTTATTACTTAATCATTAAATTAGCTCCCCCAAAAATTAATACAAAAAGAATTGCCAAATATGAAATCACTTTTTACTTATAGGTACATAGCTCAATCTTATTATACGGGGTGGTGACTTGACGAACGCACCATAGGAACTTCAATAGTAATTTTTTAATTGCCGATTATTGGCTCCCGTAATTATTTTAGAAATACATAAAGTCTATTTAGGTTTCTTGTAGAGAAAAAAATTGCGAACCTGTAGATACTTTTGTTTTCTATTTTATTAATTCAGAAACAGTAAAAATTTAAAAATTAAAAACTGACGCGTTTATAAAGTCTGTATTTCCCATTAGCGCCATCAGTGAGCTTTGTTTGATCGCAAAACTACCATGGCATCACTGATTTGCTTAAAAGCGCCAGTTTTTAGTTATGCAATTTCTGGGTTTTAAAGTTCAAAAAATTAAAAGCCATAGTATGCATGGATTCGTAATTTTTTTCTCTACAAAAAACCTAAATAGACTTTATCTCTAAAATAATTAGGGAAGCCAATAATCAGAAATGAAGAAATTACTATTGAATTTCCTATGGTGCGTTGTTCAAGGCACCATCCCGGTATACGCCTGCGGTTCTGCACTCTGCTCAGAACAAAACTACCGAAACAGTTCTTAAAATAGCCATTTCCCTATTTTAAAGAGAGTTGCAAATCTTTATCACAAAAAACTTTAGTGCCATTGAAGGGACACCCCACATTTTACACAGAACCAGTTCAACGTGAACTATAGGTACGTCTCTACATAAGGATTTTTTTCGTATTCCTCAGTTTCAAAAGCAAAGATTTTGCATAGTTTTCTTATTATTTATATGTTCCCGACCTTACAAATTCGGAAAACTGCAGGAAAACCTAATTCGGAGTAGCCGGCAGAATACTCGAAACTGATCTAAGGAAATTCTTACCTCGGACACCCGACCTCCGCCTGTATAAGCCTAACGCTCTACCACTGAGCAAAGGAAAAGACATAAGTTTTGCAATGGGCGGCTACCTGCGAATGGTTTTATACTAGAAGACCTATATGTAGTTATAAGAATAAAATGATAACAAATCTTGATACGAACAGTTTTAGAACGATTGAGGCGTTGTCCAAAACAGACAAAGATCCTAATCTTTACAAGAAAAAATAGTTATATTTGTCAACTCCAACTTCCAAGAGCTACCAGAGGAAGTAGGTATTTTGTCCTATTTTTTGGTGAAATTTTCTAGTTCTGCTTAGAGTTTGGGATACTCCTTTAATAACTTTGAAAATATCTAATCTAAACTGCAGTTTACTTTACGTGATCTTGCTTACGATTTCCCGTACAATTTTTCATACGATTATTCTTTCGAGTTTTGTTAGGGGTTGTTTTGGTGGTTTTCTGTTTACATTATCCGATTTGCTACCAACAATTACGAATAAGTATGATGGGAGCCGAAAATATTGCAACTCGCGAGAGAAATCCTAAGCAAAATGACATACCTAACGTAAACTGCACTTAAATGTAAATGCCTAAAATTGTTTTGATAGGCAATTTATAACAGGAAAACTAGTAGGGTTGACACGTTATAATAAGAAAGCTTTCGAGGATTCTTTTGTATCGGAATTACCATGTTCATATTTTTAGTTTTAAAACTTTATTTTGCGTAATGCAAATTTCAAGTCTTTTTACGCCCCAATCACGTGTCCATTCTGGATACATTCCATGATGTTGATACAATAGCTCGGCTACTTATCTTCCTAATAAATTTATTGGCTCTAAACCTTACAATTAAAAGATTAAACGCCGGTTTTTCATCTTACCGTTGAGGGTGTATGAGGTACTTTTATTAATAACAATAGAAGTTACTTTTGGAAATTGGAACTCAAAATAGGTACATTTTTTTGGTGAAATGTTGAAGTTCCAACCGGAGTTCCTTAATCATTATAAACCGTTCTGTAATGAGATTTTGTGATAAGATTGATAAGAACAAAAACAGAAAGATGCTTTTTCGTATTTCAAGAACAAAATATTGGTGACCATTTTTAAAGTTTCGAGTATTTCCTAAAGAGTCATAAAAATTGTATAGCAACTTGTAAAAACAGATAGGTACTAATTGTATTTCCTCTATGGTACTATTTATTTTTGATACCTACTGAATACTGAATTTTCTCCTGAAGAGTTAGAAAGGAGTTTAGACAGCGCCACACTGGTTATAAAGCCTACACCTTTAGCAACGGAGGAGGAGGATCAATCATATTCCAAATACCAAGTAAAATATTCATAGATATGATTACAGTTCCTGATTATCCCCCAGGAGTTGTGAAAGTTTTTCGAATATGGCGTTGAATAACACATTTCTTAAAGCCACTTTATTAATAGTGTTTTAGACTAGCACAGATACCACCCGCACACCTCCGCATGCGCGTTATGCCCAAAAGCTTTTCAGTCCTTTCTTTCATCTTCATGTCTAAGAATATGTGTACAAAAATTGAGTTCAGCCGCTTAGTCAGAAATGGGAATACAGACGGAACCGACAGACAGACCGACATCATTGAGATTTTGTTTGATTCGGATTTCTGGTGTATTTCCGTCAAAAAAGTAGAGGTAGTTTTTTTTATCCCAATGCAATACCTCCCTCACTAACGTGCGGGTGGTAATAAACCTCCATAAGTATCGTACTTGTAGCCTGAGTGTACGCGCTTGCTTTGAGATGAGCTAACCGATTTGTCTGTTTAATGTCGACAAACTGTAGCCTTTAGTTAACTGTTTCCGAACACGGAATTCAAAAATTCGCCCATGTTTCCGAATTATGGCGCGGTAAAAAGGACGGACACAAACGATACGAAACCTACAGTATACACTGTGTCCAAGATAAAAATGTTAATCATGGGGATCTACGAAACTATAGAAGGTATGACGATAGTCAATTTGAGGAAAAGTTGCACAAACCAAGTATTTATCATGCTTTAAAGAAAACCAGAAAATTTCTATTACTTCCGGTTCCAAAGATATGCCGGACAAACCCAAATTTCCCGATTTCGTTTTCATTTTTTTCTGATGTTATTTGAACAGATACAAACAAGTATAGATTGTGCACAACTCTTGTGCAGATAAAGCGCATTTTTTTTAAACCGAAATAGTGTTTGTTAACACTGGCAATGACAAAGTGTTTGTTATTTTTTTGTATCTATTCAAATGCCATCAGAAAAAAATAAAAACGAAATCGGGAAATTTCTGTTTTTCTGATATCGGAATTTTTTGGTTTTCTTTAAAGTATGGTGGTTAATTGCGCAACTTTTCCTTAATTAGACTATCTTCATACCTTCTATGGTTTGAATGGTTTCGGAAATCCCCATGATAGACATCCTTATCTTGGACACAGTGTATACGCTCATCTCCGTTATGGATCAACTATCTTGCGTTACCCAATTCGAGATTATGGAAATTATGGAAAAGGTATGAGCATTGAGTATTCACTCAACGGTATGAGTCTAGCTAGGTATGAGTTGTTCCGTATAGAGCATTACATTTTTTTTATAAGAAGGTTTATTATCTGACATTAAAACACAATAATGATTATGAAATTTTTGAGTTTTCGTACCCTTTTTGTACGAATTATATTTCAGCACAGTTTTGAAGCAAAATTTGGTATTCTGATTAGAGTTTCGGGTCGATATGCAGAAGTTTTGCTCTAAAATGTATATTTATTAAGTAAACCATAAATCATAATAAATATTCAAAGCCCGTATTTCAGATCATTTGGCGAAATTTTTTTTCATAGATTTGAATGGGAAATATTTTAACCAGTTTTAAGAAAAATTACAACTATCAAGTTCACAGGAAAGGAGATTAAAAGTCTGCGAACAAAAATAATCAAATGTGTATACAGAATTTATTGTAATCTTATACTGGATGACATCATCGCATACCCGCGCTCATGAACAATAGCTTCATTGTCCTGTGTACCTTGCTGTAAAAGAGCGGTAGTTTATTTATCATTCATGTTGCAGATTTCTGTACAGTACTAGCGTTGAGTAGCGTAATCATTTCGAGAAAAGAATCTGTATTTTTTTACCAACAATCTTTAGTGGATGGTAATATTGACACGCGCGCGACATCTATAACTCTTAAATAAGCGGTTTCCAAAACGTACATGGAGGTTGTCTCACTATTCTATTCTTTACACTAAGATTAAAGTAGAGG